ACAAGGATGCCCTTTATCACCACTCTTATTCAACATTGTGCTGGAAGTCCTAGCCAGAGCAACAAGGCAAGAAAAAAAAAAGTTCATCCAAATTGATAAGGAAGAAGTAAAAGTATCCCTATGCACAAAAAAACCCCCAAAGAATCCATAAGAAAACTACTGGAACTAATAGAAGATTTCAGCAAAGTATTAAGCTACAAACACACAAAAATCATTTGGATTCCTGTACACCAACAAATAGAACTTCGAAAAGAAAATTACCACATCAATACCATTTACAATAGCCCCCAAGAAGATAAAGCTCTTAGGAATAAATCTAATCAGAGACATAAAAGACCTATGCGAAGAAAACTACAAAACCCTACTGCAAGTAATCAAAAGAGACCTACATAAGTGGCAAAACATACCATGCTCATGGATAGGAAGATTCAACACTGTGAAAATGACGATTCCTCCCAAAGTGATTTACAGATACAACGCAATCCTGGTCCAAATTCCAATGGCAATTTTTAACGAGATGGAGAAACAAATCATCAACTTTATATGGAAAGGAGATGCCCCAGATAAGTAAAACATTACTGAAGAAGAAGCACAAAGTAGGAGGCCTCACATTACTTGATTTTAGAACCTATTATATTGCCATTGTAGTCAAAACAGCCTGGTACTTGTATAACAACAGACACATAGACCAATAGAAAGAATTGAGAACCCAGACACAAATCCATCAAACTACGAGCAGCTGATATTTGACAAAGGCCCAAAGTCCATTAAATGGGGGAAAACAATCTCTCTAGCAAATGGTGTTGGCATAACTGCATACTCATCTGTAAAAAGGTGAGAACAGGACTCATACCTCACAACATACACAGAAACTAACTCAAAATGGAAAAAAGACCCAAATACAAAATCTAAAACAATTAAGATCATGGAAGAAAAAAATAGGGACAATGCTAGGAGCCCTAATACCTGGCATAAATAGTATACAAACCATAACTAACAATGCACAAACAGTAGAAGAGAAACTAGATAACTGGGAGCTCCTAAAAATCAAACACTTAAGCTCAGCAAAAGACTTCATCAAAAGAGTAAAAAGAGAACCCAAAGACTAGGAAAAAAATTTTGGCTATGATATATCCGATAAGAGACTAATCTCTAAAATCTACAGGATAATGCAACAGCTCATCAACAAAAAGGCAAATAATCCAATTAAAAAACAGGCAAAGTGTGTGAACAGACACTTCACCCAAGAAGACACTCAGGTGGCTAGCAGACATATGAGGAAATGCTCACCGTCATTAACCATTAAAACAAAAAACCAGACCCGTTGCTGTGGAGTAGATTCCGACTCATAGCAACTTCATAGGACAGAATAGAACTGCCCTATACTGTTTCCAAGTAGTGCCTGGTGGATTTGAACTGCCAATTTGGTTAGCAGCCATAGCTCTTAACCACTACACCACCAGGGTTTCCCATTAGCCATTAGAGAAAGGCAAATTATTTAGCCATATAATGATAATGTTTCAAAGACGCTTATGAGCATGTAGCCTCTGAAACAAATTGAGAATATTTGAAAAAACTAATACGAAGAAAAAGAGGAGAGAGTCCCTATTTTCAGGCACTATTGAAAAGTAAAATGCACACGGAACTCAATCAGAAATCTTGATATTTGGCAATGACTTTGCCGTTGAATGGAAACCCTCGTGGCGTACTGGTTAAGAGCTATGGCTGTTAACCAAAAGGTCAGCAGTTCGAATTCACCATGTACTCCTTGGAAACCTTATGGGGCAGTTCTACTCTGTCCTATAGGGTGGCTATGAGTAGGAATCGACTCAAAGACAACAGATTTGGTTGCTATTGAATAAAGGTGAGACTCTGCAAGTGTCACTGAAAGATTCTGGATATTGGCAAAATATAGAAATAGTCTCTCTTTTTACCTGTAATGAAGCCTCTGTCTTGACTCCCCCATGTGTGGCTTAACATGGCCTAGTAAGAAAAATTTATGGAATTTTTTTCACGCTTGGAGATTCTCCCTGAGGAGATACCAGGCAATTTGTTGATTGTCCCTGAAGCATTTGAAAGTTTAACAAAATACCTGAGGTTGTCTGTTAATTGTCCAGGACAATTTGTATTCACCAGTGAGCAAATTTTTCTTCATATAGTGTGTATGCATGTCTGTATTTATCTATTTCATACAGTTTTACATTTTACTGTTTGTTAACGTTCCATTTTTACCACACAGGGATCTGGAATAAAATATTGTATCTATAAACAGAGCTATCAATATTCCCCATTTCTACAGTGGTCTCTTCAAATGGATGACTAAATGAAGAAGTGATTAAACATTTTATTTATTTATTTTATTGTTGTAATTAAATGAAGTTTACAAGTTAGTCTCCCATACAAAATTTTTATACATACATTGTTACGAGACCCTAATTGCTCACCCCATTTTGCAACAGTACACTCCACTGATAGAGAGTCCAGGGGCCATGCTTTCTGGGGTACCTCCAGTCTCAGTCAGATCATTAAGTCTGGTCTTCTTACTAGAATTTGAGTTCTGCACCCTATCCTTCTACTGCTCCATCAGGGACCCGCTGTTGTGTTCCCTGTCAGGACGTTCATTGGTGGTAGCCAGGTACCATCTAGTTCTTCTGGTCTCAGGCTGATGAAGTCTCTGGTTTATGTGGCCCATTCTGTCTCTTGGTCTCTTGGGCTAATATTTTCCTTGTGTCTTTG